TGAACTCGATTCCAATTGCCCACCTCACTACCCTCTGAGTGTTGTATGTGGCGCAATTATTGAAAGTTCAGTGACCATTTAGAGGCAATGTGTAGTTCAGTGAGTAAGTTGTGACCATGCTAAAGTCCAGTGACTGTTCAAACAATTTACTCGCACAAAACTGCCTCAAATCTGCCCACTTATCCAGAAGTCCATTAACACCATATAACCCAAGCCCATTACATAGTATTTTCAGACTAATACCAAAAATCACACCCAACCTTCGACATAAGCTGACCACCCAGTCTTAACCATCACCTATTAACCCACCGCCAACCGCAGCTGCTAACTGACCACTCCGACAGCCACCGTTTCAAGAATAACCGCCATCTCAGCCCTACTCGCTGTCACCAATCCGCCACCACCTCTGCGAGATCTGCCACAAATTCATAATGCCAAGCCTCTAATATTTTCGCAGGCCACTGCATGGCCAAATTCAATAGGTGATGACTTCGCTTCAGTTATTGGGACTAATATTGAGACCAAACTGATGAATACTCATTTAGGTACTAGAATCAGAACCTTGGCGTGAGAATCGCACACTATTTCTACATTTTGTTGTCGATTTTGACATTAACTCTCTCTATATTTTTTTTTTTTTGTGGGTAGATATACGCTACAGTTGCAGAGGGAAAAAATCACAAATTATCTCTCGATTATTTGTCGTTATGGAGAGATTCGATGGGAAAGATACAGTGGACGAGGTGGAGATATTTATTAACTTGTAAAATTGCAGATTGAAAAACAAATTTAATGAGAGAAGGGTCGTGTTTAAAAAGAACGTGAACGGAAAAAAGAAACAATTGATTCAATTTGATGAACAGTGGACGGGAGGAACAAAAAACTTCTCCTGCCTTGAGAAAACCTAACCAAGAAAACAAGAGAAGATTCGAAAGAAAAGCATATGATACCATGTCAAATATACACAATAATATTCAATAAGACTTGATACCCCCTGGGCTTCTCTCATTGTATAAAACCAGAATCATAATTAAATATGGTAAAAGCAATCTATCTATATAAGATACAATTATAATGATAATATACTCGTAATCTACGACGATCTCCGTAATCTTATTCAATTTCATTT